AGACGGCCCAATGATAGGGTGAAGCTGTGGGGCTATACCTGAATGTTGTCCTAGAAAGACACTCGGTAAGCCCAACGTGGAGCTGGGACCAGAACCCAGGCTCCCAGTGTCAGCTCCCTCCACCACCCCCATCTCTGAGGACAGTCGTGAGGAGGGAGACACCTTTGCCAAAATTTGCCTGTTGTCCCAGAGTTGATGTCATATCCCTGAGCCTGCATACAATCAATCAAGTAAAAGGTAGAGTGATTCTATGGCTCCAGTTATAGGGTCTACCTGTCACCAGCCGCTGCTGGGCATGAATGGACACTCCTCAGGCCCTCCCCATATGGCAAAGAGCAAAGTCACTGGGCCTTTCCTGCAGACCTGGGCTTGAAGGCCTGCCCACAGCTTAGAGCAGAGCTGCTGAACACTGAGGAAGAGAGAGGTGGGGGAATGCTGGACATTAACTGGTTACTGACACACATGCATTTCGTAATCTAGGGGTATATTGAAACTCAACACATTTTTAGCCAAACAGTGAAAACACAGTTGGATTTATAGCATGTTAGTTGTTTTGTTTTGATTTGCCCTCTTCTAGAAGGATTGCCATACTGGTCCACATTCTGCACCTCTACCCGTTTTTTCTCCCAGGCCAATACATGAACAAGGGCTGTATTGTGTTGGGCTGATGCGAGTTCAAGAAAAAAGAAGTGGAGTGGGATATATGTGTGTGCATGCTTGCATATATGTGTATATACATGCATGCGTCAATGTGCATACATGCTAGTGTGTGGTGTGTGTCAAATTGCATATGCATGTATGCATGTGTGTGCGTGACTATGTGTGTGTGTGTGTGTGTGTGTGTGCACATGCACAAGCACCCACGCTAGCATGCTTGAGAGGGGAGGGCACCTCAAGGTGATGTGATAAGGACTGGGCAGAGGGAAGGCTTATTGAGTGAGTGAGTGAGTGAATGAATGAAAGAATGAATGAATGAACAAAATACCCAGCCTTGCAGTCTCCTCTGCATCCTTCCTAGCCCCATACAGAAAGAAGCCTTTTCTCTACCGCAGGTGATGGGTGGCCTTTAGCATCTGTCTTCACCATCATTACACTTTATAGGGCCCTCTGAACAGACCACCACCACTTCCCTTGTAGAACTTTAAGAAGAAAAAAAGTAGGGCTCACTGGAAAACCCTTTCTCTGCATTATTTGCTCCTCAGTGACTGTGGAAACGACCCTGGTACTGAGGGAGGAGGGGGACTATGTAGGTTTGTATAACCAGGCATGGCAACTAGAAAGTTCTCAAAAGAAATTCCTAGCAATGAAGCATGAATTTGGGGCACATAGTGCAGTTAGCAGCTGGGTGGCCGGAGTGAACTGTTTGCAAAGAGGACTGTGATCATTACTGGCATGGCTGCAAGTATGGCCCTTTGCATTGTGACTCTGCAGGGGGAGGGGAGCTTGCTTTTCTAGCCCATGACTCTGGGCTTGGCTGTGTAATTTGCTTCGGCCAAGGGAATATTAGCAAATATGACACAAGTAGAAGCTTGAAAAGTGCTTGCACATTGGGGTTTGCTCACTTTGGACTCTTTTCCTTTTATTAATTGACCAAAAGACTCCAGCCATGTGAGTGGCCCCAGCTGAACCCTCTGCCTGAATTGCTGACCCACAGAATCATGAGCACAGAAAATGGTGGTTGTTCTAAGTCACTGAGTTTTGAGACAGTTTGTTATGCTGCAACTGATAACTGATAGAAAGGCTTTAAGTAAGTCACTTACTTAATTTGTAAAAATGTAAGAATGTTAACTACATATTATATATAAAGTACCTCATACAGAGTGAGATGCATCATAAACACTCACCAAATGGCTAAGATGCTAGGATCATCCCTGTTTTGGCAGCAAAGAGGAGGAGGGCCAATGAGGTTAATTAACTTGGGCCAGGCTGATAAGTGGGATACAGCAGGAATTCAAATCCAGATCTGTTGTGATCAGTGTGCACTGCTGTGATCCTATGTTGCCTTCCCTGCTGAGAACAGCCTCTCTCTTTCTCTCACTCCCTCTGCTTCTTTAATTCCTGCCCATCCAAAAGCACCAAGCTCAAAGCTCACCGTGGAACATGATAGCCCACTTTTCTGAATTTTCTTCCTTTTTATCCCACCTCCCTCCTCCCTCCTCTCAATCCATCTCTCACACACGCGCATCCATCTCCTCCTATGTGTGTGGACGGCTGGCCAGGTGCTCTGGGAATACTGTGGGGAACAAGGTCCAGCCCCACAGAGCTCTCAGGCAAGCTACACAGCGAAGCCCAGAGGTACCTCCCCTGCGACCCCACATGTCCAGCACATACTAGGCTCTGTCGTGTGTTGTATCAACATTTTATACACTGTTCCTATCTCTCTGCCCAGATATGAAACTCCTTAGGAGTAAGACCATTTTCGTTCATGTATTCATCCCTCCCTCCTCCCTCCTTTGCTTCACTGAGCACCCTGTCAGCACCAAGGATGTACAAGACTCTGACAGAGACAAACTCTGAAATGTTCATGATTCCCCACTGTGCCCTCCTGCAGCTTTCTGGGCCCACAGCATGTGGCCCCAAATGCTTGAATTTAACTGAGTTTCTGAATAACTACTGAAGATTCAGTGTGTAATCAACAAATGATCCTCACGGGGGGTGTGCTGGCACCATGAGGATCTCACTCTTCCACGTGCAGCCAAAGGAGAGATCTGGGGGCTCTTCCTCCTCCACCAGCTCCTGACACCCCTCACCAGGCTGCTGTAGAAATGGCAAGGCATGGCTCATCCTGCTGGGGCCCTAGCCAGCCTGCCTGGCCTGTGTCTCCGATGCCAGTGGCATTTCCATCCAGCCATCCTGCCCTGCAGCCAGCACAGGGAGATATGCATGGAGTACCTGCTAGATTCAGGCCACTGCGCTGGGCACTGGGACCGTGAAGGACAGAGAGATGTCATTATCCTCCTGACCTCTGACCACCACCTGGCCTTGTCCAGTATACAAACTGGCAAGATGAGCAGCCCCCTTGAAGGGGACTTGCCCAAGGCCACACAGCTGGGTTCAAATGGACTATTTGGGCCTTTCATGCAGTGTTTCTTAGCCAAGACCTGACTCTCAGGGAGTTTACACTCCAACAGGGAGATGGGATATAGACAATAAAGATACAAGAGATTTTGGTAAATCTGCCATAGGAACTTGAAGCTCAGAGGTGACAACATTCTGAAGGTGGTAGGGTTTGGTCTAAGTTTCAAAAATGAGTATGACACAAACAGGTAGGTATGGACAGTGAGGACTTCAGGGGAAAAGCAGCAGAGGGGGAAGGTATCTGGTGTAAATAGAGGGCACCAAGAAGAGGAGCCTGGCTGGAGGTCACAGCAAAAGTTAGAGACCTAGGTGGGGATGCCTGGGGGAACCAAGGACATGGGGCTAAGTTGTTTTGACATTATGGAGGAAAGTGACCCATTCAAAGTGGTGCCTGAGGAACTTAGAAAGGACCTAGACTGGGGAACACCTGGTGTGGCCAAACCCTCTGCAGAATTCTGAACAGGACAATCCCATTAGGTTGCCAGGCTTGCATTATTTATCACCACCCTTCCCCCACATGAGTATGTAGAACAGCCTATTTCACACCCATCAAGGAGAAGCAAATGATGGTGATGAGGATGACAGTGACACTCAGAACTTCTGATACAGAATGCTTTTTTCTCTTTGTTCTAAGCACACATTGCACAGAGGATCTCCTTTAATCCTCACAAGGATGTGCTCTAAACAGATACTAGTATTTCTACTTAACACCTGGATATAAACCCAGATCTCTGGCTTCAGAATCTGTGCTTTAACCCAGTAGGCTGTTCTGACCCCCAGTGACCAGCTGATGGAAAGCAATATGTATTCTCAAGCAGCAATTCTTCCTTTACCCTAAGGATGTCCCAACTAACAACTATCCACAGCTCAAGTTTTGCTCCTTAATTTGGAATAACAGAATTAAAAGTTTCAACTTTTATTTAAGAACTCTCACCCCCATTTTACTGATTGGAAGACTGAGGCCCAGAAAAAAAAATTCCTTGTCTGGAGTTCCATAGCTTGCTGGGATCTGAGGCAGGCTTTCTGACCTGAGGTCCAGGCCCTCCTGCAAAGGCTCTCAGTGCCTCTGAGGAATTTACCACCTGCTGGCCACACAGGATATAAACTCAGAAAGATAACAAAACCGAACAGAAGGGGCTTCTCAAAGCCTGCTGTTCTTTCCCCTGATACCAGGGATTTTCAAATATAATTTTAGCAACAGACTCTCCCCAACACACAGACACACTTTTCATGAAAAGCTATATAGGGCACATATCTATTTAAAACATAACCATCTCCACTGTTCTGATTGGGGGAGGGGGGAGGGGCCTGGAGCTCTACCTGCTGGGTCTACCCACCCCTCTCCCACACTTCTCCATGGGGCTCCCCACACTCCTCCCCAAAGCACAGTCTGAAAGTCCCTGCATCATCACCTCATGTGTTTGTGCCCCCACTCACTCACCTTCTTGGATTCTAAAACTCATGTCAAGCACAGTTAGATGTTGACTCCAAGCAGGTAATGAGGTCAGCTCTGGGCCACACCGTGATGTTCTGAAATTATGCCTTAGAGATGGCAAGGCAGGCTCACCCCATCACCTCACGTGATCTTTGGAACCATGCTCCATTTTGCAGATGCGGAAACTAAGACCCAGACAAACGGCCCACCTGCTTATGGCCCTGCAGTCGGTAAGGAAGGGCCTCTGCTCAAGCCTGTGGTGCCTAACTTCAAAACCCTAGACATGCCCAGGCCCTGCTCCAAATGTACAGAATTAGAAGCTGGGGCTATGAGTTATTATATCCTGACATGATGACCCACTATCACTCAGCATAAAATGCAGCAAAAAATGGCTTGGGGTCATTCCAGACCTCTGTCTCCTCCCTTCAGCTCTGGTGATGACAGGAGACCCAATCCCAAAACAGCGGCTAGCCTGGGCAGAACTTACTGTGTAGAGCTCATTGGTCACCTTCAGGAGCTCCTCATGCATCTGCAGGCCAATCTCCTTGCTCTGGAATATGGAAGAACAAATGTCAGAAAAGGAGAAGTTTGCTGGCTACATTTACCAATCTCTTTTCAACACAGAAAGGTCAGGTATGTTTTGGGTGGGGTCGGAAGGGGTACAGAAATCAGCATAAACCTCATTGATCTACATGTGAATTCCTCAACGTATGTCCATGAAACCAACCCACAGAGAGAGGTTCCTTGTGGATGGGATTCCCTGATCATATGAGTTGGGGAACCCTCCACATCACTTCCCTACCACAGTGACTCACAGTGACAGTAGCATATTGAAGATGTAGGGAAGCCCCACAGAATTTTTCTTTAATTCTATGTGTCCTAAGCTGGTAATGACCAGGGTCTGAGTTCCTTGCACAATCCTCACTAATGGCTAGAGAGTGGGGTTCCATAGAACACAGTTTGAGAAACAATGATCCAGCATCCCAATTCCTCTTGAGATTAATGACAATTCTCAAGTCCTCCAGGAAACATACCGGGTCCTCCAGAACACGAGTCCCCAACCTCCAGGCCACAGATCAGTCTGTGGCACATTAAGAACCAGGCCACAGAGCAGGAGGTGAGTGGAGGGTGAGCGGGCATTACCACCTGAGCTCTGCCTCCTGTCAGATCAGTGGCGTCATTAGATTCTCATACGTGCTTGAACCGTACTGTGAACTGAACACGTGAGGAATCTAGGTTGCCTGTTCCTTATGAGAATCTAATGCTGGATGATCTGTCACTGTCTCCCATCACCCCCAGATAAAGCCATCTGGCTGCAGGAAAACAAGCTCAGGGCTCACAGTGATTCTACATTACATAATTATTTCATTATATATTATAATGTAAAAATATAGAAATAAAATACACAATAAATGTAATGTGCTTCAATCATCCCAAAACCATCACCCGACCCTGGTCCGTGGAAAAATTATCTTCCACAAAACTGGTCCCTGGTATCAAAAAGGTTGGGAAGCACTGCTCCAGAAGATGTTTCCTGAAGGCTTGTCTTCCTTGAATAAGAATCATCAGCTGGCACCCACTTGGACATAGCCTTCCTAGCTTTCAAGGACTGGTTACAACTGATGCCCCAATCTTGATTGACTCCAAATTTCAGCCAGGCCTCCCCTGTGCTGGTCCCCTGCTCTACCTAATCTTGTCTTACCACTGCCTGAATCTTGACACAGCAGCAGGTCCACACTGTCAAGGTATCTGTTCCAATGAGGGAGGAGCAGTACAGGTTGGCAGAAAGCCGTCTAGGGCACAAGGCAAGAGATCTAGCTTCTCATTTCCACTGTTTTACCAACTGCCTGTGTGGCCTTGGAGAATCACTTCCCCTTTTGAGCCTTAGCTATCCCACCTATGAAATAAAAAGCATAAACTAAAACAACATTTCCCAAAGCATGGCCTGGAGATCACTGCAAGGTGCTATGCTAAAAAGGGGGGACAGAGGCTTCTACAATTATATGCATTTGGGAAAAAGCTAGTTGAACAAAGATAGACAAATTTTCTTACTGCAGGACTTCTCAGTGCCTTTTATATCCTTCCTTGCATAGAGACTTTCTAAGAAGGAGGTGTAGTGTGTAGTTTCATTGACAGTAGTCCTGTTTCCATGAAGTGGCTTTCAAGATATTTAAGGAATATTCAGAAAACAATGAGAAAATTATCTTTAGGTACCGTGCAGCATGAAGAGTCTAGAATTATTTAATTTATGATTGTGATTGTGATTTTGATAAATATTCTCTGCTATAATCTGAAAGTTTGTGTCCTCCCTAAAATTCATATTATGAAATCCTAACCCCCAAGGTGGTGGTATTAGGAGGTGACGTCTTTGGGAGGAGATTAGGTCATAAGAGTGGAGCCCTCATGAATGGGATTAGTGCCTGATACGGTTTGAACCTCTGTCCCTGCCAAATCTCATGTTGAAATATAATTCCCAGCACTGGAGCAGAGCCTGGTAGGAGACTTTAGATCACGGGGGTGGATCCCTCATGAATGGCTTAGTGCCATCCCCTTAGTGTGTGAAGCATGTGGCACCTGCACCTCCCAGTCTTTCTCTGTTGCTCCCACTCCTGCAATGTGAAATGCCTGTTCCATTTTCACCTTCTATCATGATTGGAAGCTTCCTGAGACCTCACCAGGAGCCTGCGCTATGCTTCCTGTACAGCCTGCAGAACTATGAGCCAATTAAACTTCTTTTCTTTACAAATTACTCAGCCTCAGGTAGTCCTTTAGAGTAATGTAAGAACAGACTAATACAGTGCCCTTATAAAAGAGACCCAAGAGAGCTACCCTGCCCCTTCCACCAAGTGGAGACACAGCAAGAGGGTGCCCTCTATGAACCAGGAAGCAAGTTCTCAACAGACATCAAATCTGTCAGTGCCTTGCTCTTAGACTTCCCAGCCTCCAGAACTGTGAGAAATATATTTCTGTTGTTTATAAGTCACCCAGTCTATTGCATTGTTATAGCTGCCTAAAAGAACCAAGACACTCTCCCTGTTTGCCTAGACTATCATGTCAAGTTTCTGTACTGATGATAGCAGCCATGATCTCAGCTATCTGAGCAGCTGCAGCATCCTGCTCTCCCTTCCAGCTCCCTCAGCCTCATAGCTGGACCAGCTGCTGAAAGGCAAAGACCAGCCTTCCTCCCACCCTTGCAGAGATGAGAAACCCCTGAACCTAGTGGTAGTTCATGAAGGCTTAGTATCATCATGATGCCTTCTCAGGCTCCTTCTCCTCAACCCCTACAGCCCTTTTTCTCAGCTTCCAGGCCTGGCTTGCCAAGAATCACTCATCTGAAGGTGGTCTCTGCTTGTGCCAGACCTCTTAATAGACAGCAGAAAACTTGGGGGTAATTCCAGAGACCTGTCTAGATCTCCTTCCAGCTCTGAGAGGTAAAAAAATGAGACCAGGTCCAAAACTGCAACAAAGAGTGTGCAGAGCCTTTTGTGTACAGTTCACTGGGGAATTTCAGCAGTGTCCTGTGATTTCTATACAGGTACTCTATGAGCCAAATTAGCCCGTATCTCCTATTCTCCATGATTCTCTCAAGTGAACAATCAGTGCCTCAGTTTCCCCTGTAACCCCTCCCCCTGCCATTTACCCCATCACTGCTGACTCCAGATTCTCTGACACCCTCCAGCGGCCTCCTCTTGGTCCTCAAACTCCCAAACAACTCTGACACTCAAGATCTTGTTTCTTACGTGTTTATTTTTATGATCTAATGTTTTACATAGGTAATAAAGGCACATGGTTAAAGAAAGTCTAACAGCCAGCAGGTAAAATGTAAAGAATAAGTCTCCCAAGGCTCCTCCTAGTCCAGAGGCAATGGCTATGAAAAATTTCTTCTGATACTTTCTAGAAATAATCTATGAATAAACAAGCATACATTTGCATATATATGTTCTCTCTTAACACAAAAGGGAGCATATCATACATTCCTTTGCATCTTGCTTTTTTCACTTAATGATATCTCTGAGAGATTTTTCCATCATGTAACTCTTACATCCCCTTTTTTGCACAGCTGCTTGGGACATATGATATCTATACCATAGATATCATAATTAACTTAGCCAGTTCCTTAGGGCTTGATATTTACACTGCCTCCAGTATCTTATTATCTCAAACATTGATGCAGTGAACATCCTGTGTCCTGTCACTGTGCACGTGGGCAGGGACCCCATCCTAGAGGCAGCTCTGCTGGGAAGAGTCTTGTCTTCAGAATTCCCTCCAGCTTTGCCTTCTTGGCCCCACATGCTCCTGACTTCAGCTCCCACTTCTTAGTGACCAGAAGCCATGTTGTCATCTCCCAGGCCTCTCTCCTGGGATCTGTCCTGCCTAGGAGACCTTGAGCCCGAGAACAAAGACCTGTGTCTTTAGCTGCTGCAAAATGGGTATGATCTAGATGTCCCCTCATCACATCAAACTCAAATTATCCAAAGGTGAACTGTTCCCCCCATCCCTTCAGTTTTGGTCAATGGGATAGTATCTTCCTGGCTTTGTCAACTGGATACCTATGAGTTCTATTTGATACTTTCTAAAATTCCTCCTTCTCAATCCAATCTGTAACTGGGTCCTGTCTGCAAACTGCCCAATTACTTCTTCGGAGTAACAGGCAAGCTGGCCTCCCCCACCTTCCAGTGTCCATTATTGCCCTTCCTACTTCCTAAGAGATCCATGAATTTGCCCAGGAATTCATTCCTCCAGGAGAGTTCTTCACGAGAAACTAGATGCCATCCCAACTCAAGATGGTAGATTCTGGTATGTGTTATTAGTCCAGAGGCGAGTATGTGACTTTACTGGATGGAAAAGAAAGACTTCCATGGTCAAAGGGAAAGTTTTAGCTTTTCTACTGAGTGCTGGGAAAAACAATGCATGTAGACCAGTTGCTACCAGCAGGGATCTTAGAACCAAAAGAGAAAGCAGACTTACACTTCTGTAGTTATTGATTAAGTCACTTTCAGCTGGGTTTCTGTTACTTGCAGCCAAAAGCATCCTAAGGGATTCGGTTCCATTTTCCACCACCAGTTCCCATAGCAAGCACATCATCACTGTAGACCCAGATCACTTTGTTAAGAGGCACCTCTTACCAAAATCCTTAGTTCTTATCTCTCTGAGCTTACAGTCTGTTCTGCAGGCCTGTGCCAGTGAAATTTCCTGGAAATTGACTTATTCTATTCCTCTAAATCCTCCTCATTGTCTACAGAACCAAGCCCCAGCTCCTTAGCTTGACTTTTGAGGCTTTACATGGCTAGCACAGGCCTGTTGGGCAGCAGAGGGGGTGACTTTGGGGGCCACAGGGACCTGGTTTGGAAGCAGGGCTTTCAGTCATTCAACCTCTTGGCATCTTAACTTTCCTGATTGTAAAATGAGCACCCTTTTATGTCTTCTCTGCACTTGTAAATTATCTTGTTTGTTTACTTGTTTATTCATTTATCATTTGTTTCCCCTGCTTCAATGTCAGCCCCATGAGGGTAAAGAGACTTTCTCTATGGCAATGAATGCTCAGATCTC